AATGTAACTTGAATAAGTTTTAAAAATAAAATCGATTTAAAATTAAATTATTATTTTAAATTAGAGAATGAAATTAATTTTAAATCAAATCAAATCAATTTTGAAAATGAATAATACACCTAGGAACTTCCGCTTGGATTTCTTTGCATCACTGGCCATAGAAGTGACTTTAACCATCATGCTGAAACTGATCTTGATGCTTCCGAGTGTGTCGGTGGGTTTATTTCCTGGCCTTAGACTTGTTTGATCTTTAACTACTACAGCAAGTAGAGATTCTGTCACATTCTGCTACTGGCAGAACTACTTCAGAATTTTTCCAGAGGTGACTTCTAGTTTAGGCAAAATTCATCATCCATTTTTACTTGTTTCTACAATTCAGAAAGGATTCTTTCAAGCCTCTCTTGCCACTTACAAGCTTCAGTAAACTCCTTCTGCCTTTTTGCAGACATAGAGTTGAACTTTGCCATCATGATATAATAGGGAATTTGCCCAGCAAACCTCCTATAGAGATCCAAGGTGCGAAAAAGGGATTGTTTCCACCAAAATCCTCTCCTTTTGCCTGCTAATGGCAAAAGTGCTCAAGTGTGTCACTTTCCTCAAAGTGAAAAAAGAAGGATTTTTAACGACTTTCACTTCTTCCAAGCATAGAAAATTGTTTAAAAGTTGATAGAAAAACACCATTTGATTGAAAGATTGCATTAATAATACTTTGACTGAATGATTGTAGTAGAAACGAGATGCATTCTTGCATAAAAAAATAATTGTCCTTAGAAGAACATTAGGGACTTTCCACATCTAGGGTTACAATAAAGTCACTTTGTTAATCAAAATAGGAAGAAATAAGAACGAGAGGAGTGCATGGCAGAAATGAATGATGATCTAAAACTAAGATAATGGAAGGATATAAAACTAAAGAATGTTCGAAATCTTAAAACTTAACTAGAATTGGAAACAAAAAATACTAATAGAAATGTAAAGAACTAGTTACTAATGAAACAAAACTAAGATATTTGCTTGAAAACTTAAGAAAAATTAATTACAACTGAAGATTAAAACATAAATTCACTAACAAAGCAAAAACCAAAGCTAGACAATTAGACAATAATGTAAAGGGAAACGTTTGGTACACCTTTCAGTTCAACACCCAGTTCAACACCTTCCGATATAATCATTAAAAATATAATATAAATACAATCAATTCAGCCGATTCCTGTATTCTGTGTGCGTGATTGTATCATTATACTTGTCTATTTTTAATTGCAGACTAAAAAATAGTGATTTTTTAATGACTAAACCGTAGGGTGTTGAATTGGGTATTGAAATATAGGATGTACCAATCACTGTCCTAATGTAAATTGTTGATAGAAATATGAAATGTGATGGCAAAAGAAGAGCAACTGTATTCAATTTTATTGTTGGAGATAACTTGGTCAAAAACAACAAAAAATAAAGAACTTGTTGAGAGAGTTGAATCTCTTCTACGGTAAGAAAAAAGTTGCACAGTCGCTATAGAAGTTATAATGAACTAAACTAGCATTGACCTAAAAATGTTTGAAATGTAGATATTGTTGAGAGGGGTAGGCCTAGAAATTGGAAACTGTGCTGAAAAGTTGTATTTATATACCTCTACAGCCGAAGCTGTTGCCAAACATATGATCTAGTCATGATTTTTTTCTAATTTCCCTATTATCATACTTGACTAAATTAAATGAGATTCTTACAACTTTGAATCCTTCCTTGCAAAATAAACTTTTGCCATGTGTCATTTAGTTGTTAGAAATAGAATTTTATTTGTTAGAAATCCCTAAAATTAGGCTTGCCGGAACCCTTTTTAATTTTTCTCAACTAAGTCAAGCAATTTAGCGCTACATCAGCAATTTCCCTGATTTTATGAAACAACTAAACTTTTTTCTTCTATTTTGCTACATGATAGAAATTCATTACTCCAGAATTTCTCATTATTGTGGATTGCATCACACTAAATCATGGCCATTGACTGTTTGTAAATTTCCGTTTGTATGAAAAACATTGTGACCATTGGAACTTCATTAAAAACATGTGATATCATCAAAAAAATTATTAAATGTGGTGTAAATAGTAACAAATTTTAGAAATAAAATAAATTTAAAATTAATTGCTACTTTAATATATATATTAACGATCCTTCTCAAAAAAAAAAAAATCAATCAAATTTAAAAATAGAATAATAAATTAAGGAAAGTTAATTTTATAATTAATAAATTAATTTAATATTATTTTTATTTTTAGTCAATTATTTGGACTGTTTGGTATAACTAATCCAACCAGTTGAACAAGAACCAGTGACAAAAATGACTCGGCCACCTGCGTTTTTCGTAATTAAAACATTGGGTGGCAATCATATGTGTGGTATTGAGATCTTGTTTTGGGTTCTAGGTTTTAATTGTAAGACAGCTTAAAAAAGGTACACTAAAGGTTTTCTTATAAGTGCATTTTGAAGAAATACGTTGATGCTGTAACTTCAAATTTTTAATAGAAACGATATTTTCTTACAACCATTATTGGCAGAGCAACAAGAGACCTTGCGGAACCTTATTTGCAATGGCGCCATCTCCAACGTGAAGCAGTTCTTACGTGATCATACGGACGCAAAATCTCCACAAATGTTATACTCTGCCCTTCGAGCTGCAATTACTTTTGGCCGCAAGAACATGGCACACTACTTCTACAGGAAGATTCCAACTGAATTTTTACGGGGAGACCTTCACTTCTCCCTGCTTAAGGAGTGTATAACTAAGAAAATGTTTGGTAAAGAGTTCTAACATTCTTCTTCACTTTAATTACTAGATACTTCTTCTATCTCAAAACAATTGTCGTTTTGAAATTTTAAATTTATTCAAAATTAGTAGTCTTTTTTTATTCTTTTTAAGATAAACAAATACTTTTTTTTTTCTTAATTAAACCCTATTGTTATACTTTCACTTTAATTATTATCCTTTCACAAGAAATGTCTCTATGTTTTATCATTTTTTTAAGAATAATACAAGTAAACTCTAAATTTTTAATTCAACGAAAAAGTTAAAAAAATAAAAATGATTATTTTAAAATCGATGGAATATAATATATGTTGTTATTTTACTTTTCTCAAATAAACTGTCATATATATCAGATATTGCATCAGATCTACTCCACCGTTTTCCAGAGTTGGCATCTTGCTGCCCTCCAGGTTCCATTGATCCACCCATTCTAACACTTGCCCAAACACCACCTCCATTTTTAACGCTGAATAAGCTTGAATTCTGGGGACGCTGGATATATAAATGTAAGTATTGCTTTTTCTTTTCTCTTTAATTTGTAATTCTCTTTTTATACTTATATACCCTTATTTAATTATTTGGCTAAAAGCAAATTTTTATCTTATATTTCTTTATAAAGAAAATAGAGTTTTTTGGGTTTCACCGTCTATCCTTCTTAAATTTTATTAGTTAATACACTTTTTAATTCAACATATTGTACAATACGCTCATTAAAAATCATTATTTTTAACATGAAATTAAAAACAAGCAAATTTAAAGATACAGACATGCATACAATATGTTTTAATAGCTGAATCAACTATATTATATTATATTTTAATAGTTAAATTAGACAA